CAGATGACAGTGATCCGGAAGTGGAGAAAGTCATCTTTGCTGATACACCTCCCAATAGTAATAACGCTGGGGGTTTAATGCATCCTCCCAATAACGATATTGGGGGTAGTTCAATAGCACCTCTCACACGGGGTGGTCTAACTCATTCTCCTCAACGTCCTTCGAATGAAGACATAGACGATAAAGGGAAAATGAAAGAGCTCGAAAACAAAGTCAATGCTTTGATGACAGCTCAAGAAGTAAAGAAGACGGGTATTCCATGTCCCTATCCAAGAGAATGGGATTCAATACCGTATCCGGCAAAATTTAATCTGATTAACTTCACACCGTTTGAGGGGAAGAGCTCGCCTATTCAGCACTTGATTTATTTCAAGTCTCATTTGGGCATGATCTCTGGAAACGAGGCTTTAATGGTCCGGTCATTCGTTGGCACCCTTCGTGGGCCCGTCTTCGATTGGTATCGACGTCTCAAGCCAGGGAGCATCAATGGCTGGGATGACATGGAAAGTTTGTTCCTCAGCAATTTCTTCGATGATGACACCGAAGTGTCAATCGGAACCCTTTTAGATGAGAAGCAGAAAGACGGAGAGTCAGTCAACAATTTTGTCAAGCGCTTCCGTAACAAGGCAATGAATTGCAGAGATCCTGTTACAGAGGAGTTCATCCTGCAAACATGCCACAATAATCTCTCCATCGATGTCCTGGAAGCCCTGAGGGTCGTACCATTCAAAACTTAGAAAGATTTGAAAATGCGCGGCGAACAAGCTGAACACTTTCTTAAAAGAAAGAAAGCTGAGAGAAGCCGACCAACGACATCAGCAATCGCTGGGAATGCGACTCCCGATCCGAGGATTCAAAAGGAGTATTCTTTCGAAGATGATGAAGCTCCAGCCATCTTGGAATACCTCCTCGCTAACGACAAGATCGAGCTACCACATATTAAAGATCAGGAGGGAGCTCAGAGGGTTACGGATCCAAAGTACTGTGCGTACCACAGAAGGATTCTTCATCCCACCGAGATTTGCTTTGGACTGAAAAACAAAATCCAAGCCTTAATTGACTCCGGTGTCCTAACGGCAGAACAAGCCAAGTAAAAGACGACTTTAACTCCATGGGATACACGAGTATAAACTATTTTCCCCTAACTCCAAAGAGTATACGAGTATAAACTGCTTCTTCATGTCACTCCAAAGAGTATACGAGTATAAACTGCTTCTCATTCCTCCAACCGGTATATGAGATTAAACTGTCCCCTGATACTCCAATAGGTATATGAGTCTAAACTGTTTCCCACTCTTGACGGGAAGTTCCTGGAGAATTATTTTACATGTAATATTCTTAAGGATAACCCGGTCATGTAACTCAGTATGATGTTAGATCCAGTATCGCGAAGAAAGCTGGGGGTGGGTGATTCGTGTAACGGAAGTTCCCAAAAGAATGTTATATATAATTTTCTTAGGGATAACCCGATTATTACAAACAAAGTGATAAACACCACATCCCCATGATGATTTCCGAATACTCTTTTTGCTGAGATGAGATTCGATCACTTCTTTAGATCAATCTTCCCTCACAAAACTCATTTGGTTAAACCTTTAAACAGTTAGGACCAAAGCCAAAATCCCCTCTCGATTCCTTCCATGAACGAGAGGTCCATTTTTAGTTGAATAATCAAACCTTGTGACATTTAAGATTATTCAAACCAATCCAAATTCTCTAAGTGGAGATCCCACTTCGAGTTTCCTTTGCACCAGGAGATAGAATGTAAAATTCTTCCTCTCCGAGTTTGGGTTCATCTCTACCAACAAACAAGAGACCAGGAGATAGAATATAAAATTCATCCTCTCCATCATTGGGTTCATCTCTACCAACAAACAAGAGACCAGGAGATAGAATATAAAATTCTTCCTCTCCATCATTGGGTTCATCTCAACCAACAAACAAGAGACCAGTAGATAGAATATAAAATTCTTCATCTCCATCATTGGGTTTATCTCTACCAACAAACAAGAGACCAGGAGATAGAATATAAATCAGAAGAACACAAGTATGGGCTGTCTCGCACGCGAGACAGTCTTTGCTGTCTCGCAGGCGAGACAATATTCTCTGTCTCGCCAGGCGAGACAGCATTCTCTGTCTCGCTAGGCGAGAAGTTGTTACTTATAAAATTCTTCCTCTCCATCATTGGGTTTATCTCTACCAACAAACAAGAGACCAGGAGATAGGCGAGACAGTATTCTCTGTCTCGCCCGCGAGACAGCATTCTTTGTCTCGCCCGCGAGACAGTATTCCCTGTCTCGCCCACGAGACAACATTCAAAAGTTCAGAAACGGTTTTGTAACAGCCACACACGTCCATTAACTGCCAAGGAACGTGGGAAACGTCGTGGGCGAGAATCATGTTGATAACTGCCAAAATAACAGAGTTTTAAAACATGGGAATGCAGTTACAACGAAAACTGCCAGACAGTTACTGTTCTCGAGACAAACATTTATTGTCTCGTGGGGTGTTTACTGTCTCGTGGGCCGAGACAGTCTTTACTGTCTCGGAACCCGAGACAGTCTTTGCTGTCTCGACCGCCGAGACAGCAAACACTGTCTCGGAAGTGGTTTTTTGCCTGGAGGTTATAAATACCCCCCCGAAGGCCATTTCTCAAAGGGGGGCTGATCAGAGGGCACTTGTTAGAGCAATCCAGAGCAGAGAGAGAGAGCAGAGTTCTTGAGCTTCTGGCAATTCCTTGGGATTCGAACTTTGACTTGATCTTAAGAAGAACGACTATCTTACTTTGATAAGATATCGTTTCAAATTCTCACTTCGATAAACGAAGGAAGAATCATTAAACCCCTCACGATTCAATCAGAATCTGTGATTTGGTGGTCCACGAGTCAAAGCGCTCACGGCACAGGCAAAGATCCCACGCAAGCAGTGATCCAAACAACGATCCTGCGTTTGTTTCTAAAAAGTTGTAATTTTTATTTTGTTGTGTAAAAGGAGTCTTATAAAAAGGCTATCTCTTTTTTTTGAATTTATTGTAATCGACCGAAGATATAATGAATTCCATGACAAAGTCAACTTTTGACGCAAACACACATCTTTTGAGATTTGATTACAAAGAGGCTAAAAGTTAGCCTAAAACTCGGTCAAATCCACTGTGGATCTCACAGGATCTTCAACCAAAAGATCTCAGCCACAAATAATGACACAAATCAAGAGGCGAATCAAAAAAAAACTTCGCCAGCTAGAGAACGTCGCCAGACAACAAACTCCGCCAACACAACTCAAAATAACTTGAGCCTCGCCAGCCAGCGAGCATCGCCAGAACGATGAACTTCACCAACATAGCTCAAAACAAATTGAGTTTTACCAGCTAGCGGACATCGCTAATTGACGAACTCTACTCAGCAGTCCAAAATGGGGTGACCTTCACTCATACCAAAGAATCAATCGGAATTTTACTGATTTCTCAACACCGCCCTAACAACAAAAAAATGGCAAATTTTATTCCAAGCATGGATTCAGACGAGTACAATCATCATTGATCCTTCGATACAAGTCTACAACAAAAGGAAGCTGCGTTCAACACTGTACCTCTGGCAACCAAGTAGGCGTATGAAGACAAATTTTCACCTAAGCAAAATAACTCAGGTCATGTTCAACACTACACCTCTGGTTATCTACCCAAAGTATTTCAAATCCTAGCTGCAAATTAAAATGCAGGATTTTGAAAACTTTGGGGGGGGGGGGAGGGGGATCTTCTTTAAGGATCTAAGAAGTGAACACCCATGAGCTAAACACTTTGAATGTGCCCGAAGTCAAGCCCACAACAAGCTGCAGCAAAGGTTACCTGATAATTAAAGCAAACCTCGCCAAGAAACTCATATCGACCCAACTTAACCAACTCAGACACGAGTCGACCCCCGCAACACGCTTCAGATCAAGTCGAAACGCGTCATCAGTCGGCCAAGCCTAGAGTCAAATTCTGAGCTAAACTCGAACTCGTAGGTGAAGTTCACCAACTAACAAACTTCACCCACATGGACCAAGTCATCCACTTCTGAAGAAGGCATGTCAACGTCTGAAGCGACCTTTGCCCATGCTTCCGCGAACTTCGCTAAGTCCGCGAACTTCGCCCAAATAGCCGTTTCAGAGCTATTTTCGGGGGATAACCGCATAACCGCTCCCCATTAACTCCTACTTTAATGACCACTTAATCCATAATTAAAGGATCATTAACTCTCTCTTTTAGCCTATAAAAGGAGAGGAGATCATCCACTTTGGACACACACACACGGAGAGAGACACGTATGTGCAGAGGCATATGCGAGATATTGCTAAGAGAAGGCCGAGCTAGCTTCCAAGCAATCTAATCCTCATCGACAACAAAGGACCCATCGTCTTAGTCGGCGAGTTAACGAAGTACAAGATCGACACTCCACCGGCACACGGAAAAGAAACCTAGGAAAAAAATAAATTTTTCTTTGTTTTTATTAAATTTCTTTCTATTGTAATCCGTGTCAATTACAATACAAAAGAACCCGAAACAATAACAAGATGTTTTGACCATTATATTTAAACTCACTCACCTTTTTGAAAAGAACTTTCACCTCTAAACCGAAAGTTTTACCTCCGTTTACTTTTAGACCCACACAATTTCCATATCATCTTGGATCTAACTTATTCGAAAGTATTAATTTAAAACCATTATATGTTAGCAGTTTTGTATCATTGTAAAATGCTATATTTTGCTTTAACTTGCTATTATGTTTAAAGTACTAGATGTATAATATATTTTTAGATCAAATACTTATATTATACTTTTGACTTTTTTTTCACACTGACGCCACAGAATTGTGCAAGTCAATTTTGCTCGTTAAAGACTAAAAATTCTAAAATCAAAAATCAGCTTGTGAATGTCACATGAGAAAATTTAGAGGGAAAATTCTAGCATTTGCATAATAAAGGGTATTAAAATGTAACTTTTAGAGACTTCAGTATATTTAACTATTGTAAACAAAGAGCGAGGTTATATGACGAGCGCGAAACTTGGGGAAACTACAAGGGATTAATTGTTAATTAGCATCGTACCCCTCCGCCTTCACGGGGCTTGAAACCCGACCCAACCAGACTTGCGTCGGATCCTGACAGGGGAGAAGGGTTAGTAGGCCCCAGCCTGATCTGATTGGGTTCAGCGTCAGTCAGTCGTCGGCTCTCAATAGTTAATCTTCGTCTTCTCATCTTTCACTGCGGTCCCCGACCTCGCCTTCAACCACAAAAAGGTTCCATTAACGTGCATCAAAGATCAGTTCTTTTATCTGCCCTCCGTATTTGATCGATACAAGGCTCTTTTGTGGTTGGTTTCTTTGTGTCGACAAACTGTTTGGCAAAATTCCTGAAAGAAGTTTGGATTGATTTTAGATAATTTTTTTTTCAAAACAAACATTGCAATACTAAGAATTTAGAATCGCTGAATTATGCATTTTAAGATGTCAATATAATATTAGGTGATGTATGATTGCCACAGAAATAGGCTGTGCAGGTTGGGAGAGAGGATGAAAGTATACCACATGTTAATGAAATGTGTAGAATAATGTATTTGATGTATAAACGTTATTAGTTTAGAGAAAAAACTGGTGAACTATGTGTTGGTCTTCATTTAGACCCAGATTGACGAAATAGGGAGCCCGTTGTAGGTTTATAAGAGAACATCTACTTCTTAAGGGCGTGTTCTCGTAAATCTCTTACGAAGGGTATCGGAGCCAACCCAATCTCACACGCTATGCTAACTCTAACAATATTATGTAAATGACTTATTGTCAGATCTGAATATCTGAGATCTAATCCATAAAACCATGATTAATTCAAAGAGAATAAACAACAACAATGAGAGCGGAAGCTTATACCTGAATCCATTGTTTGGATTTGCACGGATCTGAATTAGAGTTTGATCTTCTAATCTTGAGGGTCTCTCCTTTAGAATCTCTTTAGATGGGGATTAAGAGAATAGAGAATGTAACCCTAGATTAGGGACCATAACCCCTTATTTATAGTTGTTATACTTTTATAATTTGGCCCCTCATCAAATTATAATTACAACCTGGTATCCGCACATTTAGCCCATGACATATTTAACTACCCATTGACCAAATTACCTGATTGATCACTTTATGCGTGTCAACTGAAAGATAGCAACACACACTGATATAATATATGTACCCACAAATAGATTTAATTAGATTTAAATCCAACACTTGTCTCATATTACTGCTTTATATTTCATCTTTTTTCACTATCCTTTACTCTTTTTTTTTTGGGTTTGATTTCTTTTCGCCGTGAATTTTCTTACCATACAGTTCAACTAAAAGCTAACATCATTTTATTTTCTTACAAAAACACCTTCAGGAGTATTATCATTTATTACCATAAATATGGAGTCGGGGTCTAAGAGTGATGAAGTAGGTTCCTATAAAAGCACCACTGCAAAGAAGGCTCGGCTTCAGTCCATGCTTTCTGCTCTCCTTGATGATCCCATACTGTCTGATGTTCCCAAAAAACCATCACTGTCAGATGTTGACACGTTAATAAACTTGGAGCTTGGCAGTGCAATGAGAATATCTGTTGTGAGGATGGACAATACCTCCTTTGGTATGTATCTTCTTCAATTCCTAGCAAGTAATTTTAGAGTGCGTGGTTCTCATCCAACGATTATTGTATTTCTCAGTAAAAGTTAGGTTTGAAGATGGAAACTAAATTTTTTTTAATAACAGTTGGCTGTTCCTTCAAGCACAGACAGTTTTTGGTCATTAATTATTGAATCAAACTGATACCTTTATTTCTTTTCCTCTGTCATGTAGCTGCATATGTTGAATCAAGATAATATACACACTATTATTTCCCCCCAAATCTACAACTATCTGCAGATAGATCCTGATTGGTTACCATTTATAGGTAATATAATTACACAATTGTTCTCCTCTCAGATATGAAAACTTTGATTTGGCAGTCTTATGACAAAGGAACATTGTACATAACATGATCTTGCTTATCAGTTAGCGTACATTTTCTATTTGACTTTAATACCTGTGGTTTCTAGACCATCCTATGTTACAGACACTAGCTCAGCATTAATTAGAGGAAAACCAATTATCATCATCCTTATTAGATGATTTGATCAAGGTTTAAAGTCTTGGCTGTATCATATTGGATTTTAAACTTGCTCATCCAATCAAATCCTAACTGACAAATACAGGCGATATTGAGTAATAACGACCAACTGCATGCCTAAATAGTCTGAAGTATGGAAAAACTAATAGTGTTATATTTGAAAAATTAAACAAAGGAACATAAGCTTGTGATTAAACAGACTTATTTCAGGTCCTGACATTTCTGATTTGAAATTGCCAAATTATGATATTGATACTACTGGAGACGAACATAATCTTTGATCACTGAGGTTTTCAAACCTAATTTTTAATATTAGATCAACTTTAAACTTTTAATAAGGAAATGGTTACTGTTTATTGCACAGTTGCTAAATACTTAATTATGAGTTATGTCAGGTATTTTAACTGGTGGTATTATTTTCTGCTGGCAGTTGTTGCAGTACTGAATTCTGCTACCCTTAAGGATTTGAAGCTAGCGATCAGGAAAAAAACAGATGAAATAGAGCAAGCAAAAATGGGGCATCGCCACATATCTTGGTATTGTTCTCAACTTATAAATGACTACCATGCTACATTTTTTGTTGTGCAAACCACAAAGGTTATTCTTATACCTATTTTCTGAATCTCAAAATGTTTGAATGGATCACTAGACTTTCTCTTCAAATTTCAAGCTCTGTAGTTGGTATACATAAAACATCTGTACTTTCCCGAGGTAGTGTCGTCCATTCTAACAAATTGAAGCTTCCACCTAGTCTCTTTAGTCAGGTGTTTTTCTTCACACTACAAAATGTTTCTGATAAATTTTATATAATGCATGAAAAGCTTTTTGCTCTGTATTTTTTGGCAAACCTTGCTGAAGCCAACTATTTCTTTGCCGAATGTGTGAAAATCACTTTATTTGTTCGTGCTAATGTCAAGATTTTTATTTTCTTCCCCCCTTCCCCCTGAATTGCATTACACAGTAACTTCTATAACAAGCTTATCATGGCTAAGCACTGAATATTGTTCAATGACACAATCTTGATCTTTGAGTTTAAAGCATGTTGAAACGAGTATTTTTTTTATGACATATTTAATGGTAATAACTGACCTTTGATACTGAATGAAGGTATACCATGCAGATTCGTCTTTGTTTTGCTAAATTATGACCAGAGATTAGCCTGATAACTTGAGTTCCTAAGTTAGTCCTTGACCCTGGAACTATGTTTTTTGAGAAGTCTGACTATACAAAACCATTCCTCATGTAAGTACCCTTTATATCCATAGAAGTCCATAGAGTTGGCATATATGTCTTCTGAATCACCAACTATTTTATTATCCACTTAAAAGGTCATTCCTTAGACCTCTATTTCAGCATTTTCCAGCAGAACTTCCTTTCTCCTTCTAAATATTGTCGAAAGTGGGTGCCAAAATCTCGTACTAGGCCTAGATGGTTCCTCTAATACATAGCCTATGCGTTCAGTACTCATGCATTGAGTTTTCAATTGAGACTAGAAATATGTTTCTGAAAAATAAATGGAAAAGTAGCAAATTTTGAAAATTTTAGGGAAACAAGCATTTTGGTTGAGACAAACTGAAACTGATCTATATGTGAACACTAAAATCATGTTTGGATGTAGACATGGGATGCTGGGGGTTGCTTTGTTCTTTACAACTGTAATTGCAATGCGAATGTTAGTTGCATCTAACTGTTGTCACATGCAGTTGTAGTTTCATTTGTTTGGTTTAGTTGTAATTGTAGGTGAGCTATCAGGTTTTTCATTTGGATGTTCGTTGAGTTGCTACATAAACCCTTTTTACAACTCAAATAAGTTGCAACCAACTATCGTGAAGAAACTCTTTTTCTCACATCAAGGTGTTACCCATTGTGTATTTCCAATCACAATCAACTGCATTTCGAGAGTGGTTTTCGCTGTAGTTCAAGTGAATCTCTGAAACTTTCATCTAATGGACACTTACATCAGGAAGCAATGTCTTGTTAAATGCATGTCCAATATGCATATCATGTGTGCTCTCCAAACTTTTCCTTGCGTCATAATTTCTTACAAGCTTCATGACAATCAAGCTCAAGGTCATATAAGTTTTCTCTCCCCCTTTCCTATACCTTCCATTTTCTGTAGACTTCCTTTATTTTGTTTTACAGATATCTATGAATGCTTCCAATCTGTTACTTGAAGTATTATTTTCTTGCCACTGCTGCAATTTACAAACTTCTTTTGACTCTGGGCATGTGTGATCGTTCCTTGTAGGAGGCATGTCTGGGCAAACTTTTGTTTGGCTTACAGCAATGAGAAGCTCATCAATGACAGCGCACTGCTTTCTGACTATGGCATACGCAATAACTCCAAGGTTGATTCTATTCTTGTTGTGCTCTTACTTTCTTTAATTAGATATGACCTCTTCACATTTAGAGATCTTTCTAGAACGTCTCTTCATATTTCTTTATAAGGTTGGCATGGTAATGTTGTCTCTTTTTTATCTTTCTTGTGCCATAAGAATAGATGTGATTTCCTTGTCTTTTCCATTTGACAATTGTCTTGCTATAGAATCAGCATCAGTCATCATTCATCATACAATATTTGGTCATACATCGAGCATAATCTAACTGAGATCGCCCGTTGAATGGGTGGTCAAATTCTTTCTTTGGTTATTGATCTGAATTCAATATTCTTTAATTACTATAGGGGCTTAAGTCCTGGTGGAAGGAAAAATTGCCAAAAGTGGGATTACCATGAACCTGAAAGGACACAGTTGACAGGTTAAAAGAAAGTTATTTTGTTATTCATGTGGTTTTGCCTTAATTGTCTTTCCTAGATTATGAAAGGCGCTATAAGGAATTGTATTCATCTCGAAGCTTGCTGTTAAATCAGAGGGTAAAATAAAGTCCCTCATTCTCCTAAGTCCCTCATTCTCCTGTGTCCCTCCTCATTTTGCCAGCGACATAATAGGATGCTTCTAACGCTATAGATAATAGAAACATACTGTTCTTGATTTACAAGGAAGAAAAAGGTTTGTGGTATTGGTTAATCTGGTGGTGGATCTACATGTATCCTAAATGTAGGCGGACAGACACCCACACTAGATACAGAAAAATTGAACCTCTATATGGAAGTTTTGCACTTTACATATTGTGCCTTTTGCTTAAAGAGTTTACTTCCAATAGAAAACACACTCTCAAGTTCTAATTCAAGTGGTAAGTTTTGAGGTCAGCTTTTAGGAAGTTCTAGGTTTAACTTTTAGGAAAATGACAGGGGCACACCTCCAACCACACCTCCTCTCTCATTTGCTACAGTGCACCGGGCCCCACATGAGATTTTAAAATTTTAAAATCCCATGTGGGGCCTGGTGCACTGTAGCAAATGAGAGATGAGGTGTGGTTGGAGGTGTGGTTGGGAGTGTGCCCCTAGTGCCACCCCAACTTTTATTTCCTTTATTTCTCATGAAACAGTAAAAAAAATGTTTGCAAATCTTGGTTAATTCAGAGAATAAATTATTGAACAGTTGTGGAAAAGTCAATGACAATGATGCACAATTTAAAGATATGTTATCGATAAGGAAACTAACACATCTAGATTATGTTTTACTATAGAATCTAATTCAGATTACATTTCAAATAAGTAGGGTGCATTTAACAATTTGAAGATCATATAATTTTGGACTAATGATCATCAGTAAGCAGGGCTTGCTTACTGGCTAACCACTTCTGACACCAAAATCAGTAAAGACATTCGGATAAAATGAAGGTAAACAAGAAGAAGGAAATGAGAAATGATTGACTTATATACTGATAGAGTCTGGAGTATGTATGGAGTCTGAGATAGCTGTAGGTCATTCGAGGTGGTACCATGTGACAGGTATCTTCTAGGCTATCCTTGAGGAAGAGCCACTCGTTAAGTGCCTTTTGAGCATGATTGTGCTGGTTATAACCATTAAACTGCATTATTGCTCAACCGAATACATATACTTTTATGTTTAGGGTCCTTTCTGATGGAAGATGGTAGGTCAACTCCTGTCTAGTCTGCATCCAGCTTTGAAGCTTGCTAATCTATATCTAATCTATATCTATACTACTATAAAAAGAGGATTGGGGTGTTAAAACTTTTAATTTCCCTTTTTGCCCTCTCAATTTTTGATAAATTCTAACTATGCCATTATCTCTAATTAATCTTTCATTAAGTATAACCTCTTATTAATTATGCATCTCCTCACCTTCCTAAATAATTATAATTATCAATAATATTATAACTATTAATTATTTGAAAATAATAAAATAAAATAGTTTATAAAATAAGTATACACAATTATTAGTAGTAACCAATTAAATTATTATAATATTATTTATGAATTATAATAAAATAATAATAATAGTATAAATAGAATAATATATTACTAAATACTATTAAGAAATATACTATAATTCAATGAGAAATAAAATAAATAGAATAAATTTTGAATCGCATAAATAGTATAATTATTTTAATAATATCATATAAATTATGAATTACACTATTTTTTTAGTATTATAAATAAATTAAATAAATAATTTTAATATTATTTTTAGAGTATTTTCTTAAAGATTATTAGATGATACTGAATAATCTATACTTGGTAATGATTGAAAACTAACGTTTTTACAAAAAAATTATTTAATATTAATAATAATACTATTAATTGTTAATAATAGTATAATGAAGATTTATAAAATATTTATAGTACTAAATTATTTAAGAGCATAGTTAAAAAATTAAATTAGATAAATATTTAATAATATATAGACAATATAATTATTTTAATAGTATTACTTGAACTAAGAATTTTAATATTAAATAAGGTAAATTACAGTAAGCCCCCATGAACTTTCACCATTTTGTAGTAAATAGACCCTACGAACTTTTGAAATCACAGTAAATCTGTAATAACTTTTGTAGAAAGCCCTCAATGTCTTTTAGATAAATTACACCAAACCCCCAATAACTTTCAAAATGCCTTTTTATGCCATTTTCTAGTTCTAATTTATAGGGTTATTAGCAAAATTCAGAAAGTTATTGGGGGTCTTCTTTGAAACAGAAAAGTTATTAGGGTTTTGTGTAATTCTAAATGTTCATATAGCTGAAAGTTCATAAAGGTTTAGTGTGATTTATCCTATTAAATAATTATAATGAGAAATAACTATTACAATGTGTTGCAGGTATCAAGTATAACTATCTAGGGAACATCAAGAAAAAGCTAGAAAGATTAATGCAACTTAGTTAATCTAGAGTTAAGTTAAAAACTTTTAAGTTGGAGTGTCATATTAAAGAGAACTTATAAAGTTAACAGTTTTATTTAAGAACAATTTTAAATTTGGGGATTTATTTAAAAAAAGGTTATCACTAGCAATCACTAGAAAAAAAAACATTCAATTATAATAGCTACGCAATAATAATTAATTCACATATTTTTTTAAGCAATCTTATTATGCAATTTTATTTATTAACACATAGTTCTACTATTCAATAAAATATTCAAAACTTAAAACATATACGTTTACGTGCAAAGCATGTGAATTATACTAGTGTTAAAAACCAAATTCAAAGAAAGCAAAGAATGATCCACCCAAACAATGAATGGGCGAACTAAATTAGTTATTGCAGCTTCTTACAGAAAAAACTGCAAATTGAATATCTAACAGAACAGAAACTTCAATGGGTATCATAAAGTATAATGGATGAAGATCCATGCGCATGACCCTCATTGACTTTTCTGTTTATGAGAATTCATGTTGTAATTTACCGTTATGGATTTCACTGTTATTGCATATTGCATATTACTATTAAACAACTAGAGCTTTCTGCATGTATTGGAACTTTACTTTTGCATTCTACCAATTAATTTTACTGTTAAGTCATCTAGAATACAGGAGGTGAAAGGGATGCTTTACTTTGAGTTACTTGGGAAATTAATGAATGTTTTAGTGATTGGGCCACTGGGCATATGAATTTCAAAATGACACTTCATCCCAGTGCCGGTTTTCTTATATAATAAATGGATAATTGTACCTGAATTCTTGGATTAGCCTTACCTAGGTTTATATCATAATTTGTGTTATGTTGAAATCTGTATAGCTGCTATCTAATAGGATAATTGATTCCACTGATTTGTTTTTTTCTGTCTTTTTCCCTATATACTGTTGCAGGTTCATTTTATACCTTATGTCATGTCCCGAGAACTTCAGAAGCATTCAAGGAGGAAAAAACATCGATTTTTTCATGGTCTTAGCAAGAGATTATGACTATCTTAAAAAGTAAGTTAATGTTAACAGTGTGAATCATGATTGTGAAGTAAGTTATGAAAGTAACTTTATGTTAAGAGATTATAATTCATAATTACCACACTATAGTTGTTTGATTCTCTGATTGAAAGAAATTTTTGAACTGACTTGTTGTGCGTATAAGGTCAATGTGCCTTCCAGAAATCCTAACAATGTAGTGATATTGTTCAGTTGACCGCGACTTTGTTCTAGGGCATCCATTGGAGCAAGGCACTAGTAGTTAATTAAACTCCACAAAGAATGCATCACATGCAGTTATGACCAACACAGATTACACCTTCAAGTGTGACAACACCTCCCACCTGAACAAAATACAGACACATGCAGTCAATATTTAACAGAAAATAAGAACTACGTTCCTAGAAAATGGTTAAGGTATGCATACGGATGGACTGCCTGCTAAGCCTGAACATTCTTTTTGGGGGACACAAGGGCCTTAACCCAGTTTATTGACGGAGTTAACAATAACGGTCACAACCCTACCCAAAATGTTGCTTAGTAGTATAGCTCAGTGAATGCTTGTGATGCTTATTCTTCGAGCCCTGCAGCAGTTTTTTTTGTTGGGTGTTTTGTGTGTGGTGTGTGTGTTGGTGTGCATGTTGTGGGGTGGGGGTGGGTGTTGTGGAGAAGCCTCAATCTCTTTTCCAGATGCAACCTTTACTTACATCATTACACCCAAAAATCACCATTAACGTTATTTGTTTAAACATTCATACCTTGTTTCGAACGATACAGTGATGTATGCTGCAGGATAAGCTGAAGGCAGTCACAGGGCAACTCTCCTTTGGCAGAAATAACAGCATGCATGGACTTCTTCTCTCACAACATGTTGCCTCTGCCAAAGGAGAGAAACCCCGAGACTGACTTGCTCAAAGAAACCATTCGTGTCGCTGCTACGTTTATATCTTCCATCTCTTGACTCTGTTTATTTTTCTATCTGGTTCTTATATAATGCGACCTAAATTGGGAAGGAAGCAGCATAATACTACTAGGGCATGGCATATGCTACAGTTGGTTGGTTTATACCGTGGATATTCTAATTCCAATCCTCATATGCTCTTGAAACCGCAAAAAAATCACCTCTTAGTATATGATTCCTTATAGCATGATCTCTGCTTTTCTGCAATGCTAAGTAGCTTTGCTTTCCTTTCCTTTTCCTCTGTGCAGTGAAGCCTACAGAAAGAGAGGAAAGAGACCTCCTGTAGTATCGCTGTTTTGAGTATACTGCCCCTGCAGTTTCATTGTTGCAGATAAAACCCCTGGGTTAAAATGTTTTGACTCTCTTTTACCCTAGGTGAAATTTTGGCATCTATTGCCCCTGGTTGTGAGTCTATCTGAGGGTCTCAGAGTCCAAGAGTTTACACAGGGAGTCTATTTGCAACATGGAAGAATAGGGTTCATGAAGCCGACCCCAAAAATTTGGGTAAAGACTTTGTTGTTATTGTTGTTGCAGTCTATCTCCAACAGTGAAGCTACAGGGGTAGTATAAGCAAAATGACACTGCAGACGGCCTATTTGCCCTTAACCCAATTTTATTTATTCTCAGAGCAGAAAGGAAGATTTTGTGCTTATTTAGTCACTGGTACTTTTTTCATCAGGGAATTATACTCGTCAGTAATTCTTTCTTATTCTCAACTCGGTGTGCTAATCTTTCTTTATTTTTTCCCTTTTTTCTTTTTCTTTTTGATAGAAATATGCTGATCTTATATGGGCAATTCCTGGCCCCTAGTCATTTTCAGTATTATGCGTGTGTATGTTCTTGAATGATCAATATATGTGGTTACGTTGGTTTCTTCTTTGTTCGATGAGCATGATATGGTGTCATGGAAGATAGATCTGGAGTCTGATAATCTTGAAACTGTTTGTGTCTTAGATCTTCACAATTCCCTTCTCATTTTGTCTGCAGTTTGTCAATGATTTGTAGTCACCTTAATCGGTTGTTGTGCCTACTCGAGCCCAGTGTAGTTTGCATTCACTAACGTAACTATATCTCACAGGTGTTTTCATCACAAATCCGTCCTTCTATGTTATTTCTATGTTATCTCTACTAGAGCTGAAGCTTTCTGATGATGATCCATATTTTGCAGCAGCTCTCTTTTTTACTTCAGGAACTTGGAGCAAACAGTTTTGTCTACTTCTGACTCTTTTAAGCTTGGAAGTAACCTCAATCATCTTTAATTTTGATGTCAATATTCTTGATTTCTTTCCCAAATCTCTAACACTCCATCTTGAACTGAGCACTGACAAACTCCTGAAATCTAAAGTACTCAAAAGGGAGAGAGATTCTTATCCAAACTGGCAATATGCGAGCTATCTGAAAATATGTATCATAATATCATTGTATTAGATAATTGTTCCTCAATAACCATACACAATACAGCAGTGTCAATAGTAACTTTTAAATATTCAAGAGTTCTTTATGAGTCCTATAGTATGGTCATAATGTCGTGATTAATGTTTTCCCATAAAAGGGAATATGTAGGCTGTATAAAAATCACAACAGATAGCCAATCTCCATCAAATACTGATGATGGAAGTTACAATCTGACGACTTCCAGAAGGTTACAATTTAAAAACTTTCACGTAGAAGGTTACAATCTGACGACTTCACAACGACTAATGAAAGCTCTAATTCAACAGCCTTCACAATTAACATCGGGAGTTACAATCTGATGACTCATATTTTTAAGGAGCCAAGACGAAGGTTACAAGGTGACGATCTTTGCAAACGCTCTAGCGAAAGAGACTATAAATCGACGGTCTCTTCATATTAAAACACAGATATCTCTCAAACTGTAAGAAATTTGGCAAAACTGACGGAGCAAACCGAATCCTATGGGGTTGGTTTGGTCGGCTCCGTCTCGTCGAGATAGCCGATTTTCATATATAATTCGTCCAATTCCGACTTACGGTTTGAAAGTTATGACCTGTTCTTCGCAGCAAGTTATGTTCTGAAGTCCGTCTGCAAGACTGGACTTCGTCAAAACATCGGACTTAGCCTAAAGCTCGCCGAGCCCACCTAAGGCTCACCTCTGCATCCAAGATTCAAAACGCAGAGGTCGTGCCCGCGTTCCAAACTCAAAACGCAGAGGTCATGGCTGCGTTCCAAACTCAAAACGCAGAGGTCGGGGCTGCATTCCAAACTCGAAACACAGAGGTCGTGGCTATATTTCGGAGCCAAAACGCAGAGTTCATCTCTGTGTTCCAACTCTGCGTCTCAGGTCCAAAACGCAGAGTTCATCTCTGCGTCTCAACTCTGCGTCTTAGGTCCAAAACGCAGAGTTCATCTTTGTGTTCCAACTCTGCGTCTCAGGTCCAAAACGCAGAGTTTATCTCTGAGTCCCAACTCTGCGTTTCAGATTTACAACGCATCGCGGCCTGTGCGTTCAGCCACCCAAAATAGGCACAACTCTGCGTTTTTAGTCTAAAACGCAGAGTTCGGGCCCAGAACGCCATTTTCGGCGTTTGACTCGTTCAAACACGAGCCGAACAGTTCCAGGAACCGTTTTCCCCCCAAGATTTGAGGGATTTCCGCCCCACTTAGGAGCGGATTAAGGGGGCAGTTACAACCCTTAATCCCATATAAATACGAGAAACTCAATTGAGTTAAGGGATCGAATTTTGTCTCATCAACGGAGGGAGATTCGGTCAAGAGCGGGCTTGGTTGATCGGAGGCTGACTTTTTGGATCTTAGACTGGGCAGCGAAGATGAGATCTTCGGCTTGGCAGCAAGGGGAAGATCGACGTTCATCCTTCAGCAAAGTTCAACGACAGAGAGCTTTCATCCTAGGCTTATAAACCGATTTCGGTTAAATCAACTCTTTCATAGAGTTTCAAACTCGTTCAGAGTTATCAACTCGGTCAGAGTTCAAAACTTGCTCTGCAAGTTCTTCTAAAACTCGCTCTGAGTTATTAACTCGTTAAGAGTTATTTTCAAACTTGCCACGCAAGTCCTTCACAACATCAAATCGTGAGGAGAAGACCACGTTCTAGTGAATCAAGACGTGCGGATCGTCAACGGAGAGCGAACTCGACGCGAGCATTCGAGGGAGGCACTCCATCGTCACCGTGAAGAACCCAGAATTAAACAAAGGGGAGAATCCAGATCATATTCTCCTCTCTTTTGTAATCAGGAAATCCAAATTGTAATCGATTTTGAGAGAATACAAGTTAATTTTCTTTCACTGTCTTTTTACATCAAATTTTCCCACAAACAAAATACTATGTTATATTCATAGGAGGGACCCCCCCACCAAAAAAAAACTTTCTATTCACTCTCGCTATTTTATTTTCCTGTACTTTTCAAAATCTCTAACAATTTCCTTTGTTCGTTTGGACATTTTTCTGCATACAGCTCAAAGCTCAACTCTCCTCGACGCTCATATACTATAGCACATACCAATAGAGTAGGATGGATGTTAGGGCATGTTTGGTTGGCAAAGAAAAAGACAGGTTTTACAAGAAAATTGGCTTCCGCTAATACTTTTTTTTGGGGTTTTATTTCTAGCCCAAATTGTTTACTCAACTTTATCTCAAAACCCAATCACTATTGCTTATATTCTTAAACCCAATTATCTTTTTTTTCTTTGCCTTTAAACCCAATTTCTAAAATACAGTAGGTAGAGCACTTGTATTTATATACAAACATGGTAAAAACCCCAAAATGCCTCTTTCAATACCCCCACTTAAACTAATACTTTTCTCTCTCTCTCTCCTCTTCTTCCCCCTTTTCATCTCTGAGCCTTAACTGAAAAACCCAAATTTCCCCTTCTTCGGCGCTTCTTCCCCGTTCTCAGCTCGTGTTCGTCTCGTGTCCGTCGTTGTCTCGTGTTCGTCGCCGTCGCCATCTCGTCACTGAGCCCTGACCGAGGTGAAATTCCCATTGTGGCCGATGTATGCAAGTCGGAGCACGATTTCCCCCTTCTTCTGCTCTTCTTCCCCGTTCTCATCTCGTGTTTGTCTCGTGTCCGTCGCCTTCGCCGTCTCGTCAATGAGCCCTAACCGAGGTGAAATCCCCATTGTGGCCGCTATACGCAAGTCGGAGCACGACGTCGTCATCCTCGGTAGCGAAATCATCGGCCTTTCCATCACCCGCCACCTCCTCCTCCACTCCGACCTCTATGTTGCTCTCATCGACGCCTCCGTCCTTGCCTTCGGCTCCACCCGTGCTGGTGAGCTCCGTAGGGCTTGAGTTCTTAATTTTGTTTCCTTGTTCCTCTTCTATCTTGTGTTTATTTATTCGTATGTTCTTGTTTTTCTGTATGTGCTGAAATTATATATTGTAGGTCAAAAATTTTATATTTGTACTTGCAATATTTGTACTTGCAGTAGCCTAGATTGTGGGGTGTTCTTGATGTCATACATGTTCAGCCTCGTTTCCAGTCAACCGATTTTAATAGACCAAAAGGATTGTACAAGACATAAATCTTGTATCGTAGCTCTATTTCTATCTAAAGGTATATTTTTCATAAGTGTAATGTTCAATGTATGTGGTTTCTTAGAGATATGAAATGCTGGTGACTTTTACATTCCGTCTACTATTCTTTTGATCCGCATATCTTTTGAGTTCAGGATATAAACATTCACCTCAAGCTAAGTTCCCCAGATGCTAGATGCCGTCAATCTCAGCTTTTGTTATTATGCAGTTCTATGAGTGCAGCCAAGCCAACTGTTATATGAAAATTTCTCAGATTGTTCGCACTTTCGTGTGTATAAATAAATGTTTGAAGTTTTATTTGTAACATATTGTTCTCAGTTTGTTAGACTATGAAAGTATATAATCTGAAAGTTTTGTTAGTGCAATTTGTTATTGTGGAATTTTGTGCAATTTTGGAGTTTGTAAGATTATGAAAGTAGATAATCTGAAAATTTTGTGAGTGCTATTTTGTTCTTGTGCAATTTTGTGAGTGCAACCAAGCCTGATATTGTAAGCAAATTTCTCATTGATTAACGTATTATTTGTTTGTAAACTTCATCTTTTATGTTGTATTCTCTTAGGCAGGGAAAAAATTCTGAAAGTATAGTGTGGAGAAGATAGATTTTCATTGTAACATATTGTTCTGACATCTATGTGTGTCTCTGTATATAGCGTGGAGTTTGATTTGTAAAATATAGCGTGATAACTTGTTCGTGTAGCGTGATAACCTGAAAGTATAGCGTAATAAATTGAAAGTGTAGCGTGATAAACTGAAAGTGTAGCGTGATAAACTATAAGTGTAGCGTGATAACCTGTAAGTGTAGTGTGACGCCCCTGGGTTCACACAAGGCTGCAGTCCAAGGTGAAACCAAGAATGTCAAACCTGTCGTGCACCACACCGTGCAATAACATGTTTCACCATCACAATTAACATCTGTCAAGTAGAGTCAACAACTGGTGTAGGTACAAAACAGGCAAAAGATAATATAAGATATACTGATGAAATGATAATAGTCACATAAATATCTCATCATCCAACATACAGAAATACATAGTCAAGATATGAGTAGATAAACTGGAACACTCAACAAGTCTCAAATACAAATATCTGACAAGAGGAAATAAGGCACACCGCCCTTACAACTTCTAAAATAAGACCCTCAAATACCTAAACAAAAGTCTACTGTGGAACTCCAAAAGAAAATATATCTAAGTAAAC